ATTATTGTTACTTTTGTTAGTGTCAGCCAAGGAAACACTACGATATACCTAGCAATAATAATACGAGAATACTTTAAGGCTCGTCAACTCGCGCGTGTGACACAAGCACTTCTCACTTATAAGGTGTAGGTGATACCGACTTGGCTGACATCACCATCATCATCACCTCAGCCTATGCTTGTCCACTGCTGGACATAGGCCTCTCCCAATGATTTCCAGAGGGAACGGTTGATTGCGGCCTGCATCCAACGGTTTCCGGCAACCTTTACCAGGTCGTCCGTCCATCGGGTAAGCGGTCGTCCCACCTGCGCTTTCCAGTACGTGGTCTCCATTGGAGAACCTTGCTGCCCCATCGGCCGTCAGTTCTCCTTGCTATGTGCCGCCCATTGCCACTTCAGCGCGCTAATCCGTTGGGCTATGTCGACCATTTTGGCTGACATGGCTGGATGAGGGCATTGAGTTGAGACCCATGAAAGGTTTTTCTACATAAAAAGTGATTTTTATTTCGAAGTGCGGCCATAGCCATATCTACTTCATACTATGCGGCAATAAATCGACACCGTATCGCGTTCAATTTGCATGAAATCACGGCGGATAGTACTATATCGATCCTGTGTCATAGAATTTGCAAAAAAACACATGTGATGAAAAATCGCTGTGTAGCTTTTTTTATGTTAGAGACGGAACGGATGAGAAGACGGGTCACCTGATGGAAAGTGACCATCCCCGCCCATGAACGTCTGCAATTCAGGAGTCATAAACGCGTTGCCGGCCTTTTAGGAAGGAGTAAGCTTTCTCCTTGAAGGACGAGCATTAAGCTACGAATAATAATTTCTTAGATAAATTATTATTCGTAGCTGTACGGACAGGCCTTTAAATTCCACCCCACTTTCGAGACGTAACGTGACAGTGACAAAACCTTTTTGTCACCGATACAAAAGTCCCCCTGCTCACTTACATCACATACTGTACATACTTACCGACATATCGAGCGAAGACCAGTTTCAGGGTCACTTAGAGGGGGGGTGCGTGGTCCGGAACCTCCTTGTGGTGCACCCTGGGCAACGGAGACGGCAGCGCCTCTCTCCCTAGGTGGAGGAGGCGCTGCCGCCTGCGGCCTATTCCGGCCGAGGTGGGAACGGCCCGTCAAGGGCTGTTCGGAGGGCTGCTTTCCGCGTGTCCCTCTGTTTGGCAGAGGGCATAGGGGAGAGCGGGCTGGGGGCGGACGGGTCCACTGCAGCTGGCTCTGTCCAGAGGTGGGGGACACTGGTCTGACGCAGACCACCGTCCGGCCATGTCGTAACCCTGACTGGCAACGGTCAGGAATGACGGCCTTCGAGGGCTACGAGGAAGGCAACCTCTATAAAAAACCCTGGGGCGGACGGACCCGGTCTGGTGCAGACCCCGTCCGGCCCAGCCGTAATCCTGAATGGACAGGACCGGTGGATCTTCGGATCCGCGAGGACGTAAACCTCTATAAAAAATGCTCTAAGCCCACGTTCTGACGCCTGGCAAGGGGCTGAGTCGCTGGAGGGAGTCCAGTGCCGAAGGCGTCCCCGTCGCAGGACGTTAAACTTAATTCATGACATGGGCCCAAAGATTGATAAATCTACCCAGGAGGGTACCAGACGCACTGCGTCTGGAGAATCCCTCCCGGAGCCAGACGGCTCCGGCAGCTCCCAAACGTACTCTGGGGGGAGCAACCTTTGTCTAACCTGCCCGTTGCCGAGCAGTAAATCCGGCGACCGAAATTACGCGGAGGACGCAAGAAACCTGGAGGTAGTGTCGAACACCGACACTGCCTCGGAGATGAGCGGAGCGAGTACCCCGATGGTCTTAGCTGCAGAGCAGCACCAGAAGGGTACTCCAAAGCGCAAAAGGCGCTCGCTTCGCCTTGGCCTGAAGAGGCAATTGGAGTCGGCCTCGAGCGATGACGCCACGGCTCCCAAAGTCGGCACAAGCTGCAGAGGCGCTCTCGGCGGAGGCCGACTTCCTAGGGTTGCCCAGGAGCAGAAAAAGGAGCCCCTACGCTCCTACGCTCCCGTGAAGAGGGTCGCGTCCGAGAGGTCGATAGACGTGACCGAGGTGAGGAGCGAGAAGGAGGGTGGCAAAACCGGCAACCCACGGTCGACCGGATTGAGGAGGCAATCGGCGAGGCCGATTGCTTGCTTCGGACGTCCGGGTTGGCCGGGGGCCCCCAACAGGAGGCCCTGGTAGCGGTCGTGCGCTCCATAATTGAGGCGGGCAGACTCCTCGTGGCCGAGAGCAAGGCCCACGCTAGGGAGGGAGCCCGCCTCGAGGCGGATCTCGCACAGGCTCGTGCCCACGCTGGTGCCACACCAGCGCCTTCGGCACCATTGGCGCTGTCCGCCCCGGAGCCGGAGCCGGGCTTAGTCCGACTCATGGCGGAGATGGAGGAGCGGATAATGAGGCGCATCTCCGCTGTAGAGAGCGCCCGTTGTCGCCCACCTCTGGCTCCGCCAAGGGCAACCTATGCGGCCGCTGCCGGGGCGGGCCTAACAGCCCAGCCAGCAGCTAGGGTGGCTGGGCCGTCATCAGCCCCCCCGCCCGAGAAGGCCGGAAAGGGCAAAGGGAGGGGGAAGGCGGCCCCACCTCAAGCCCCAGTCTCGGCCCCGGCTGACACCGCACAGCGCCCGTTGGAGCGGGGCTGGACGGTGGCCGGGGACAGTAAAAAGAGGCGAAAGGCCGCCAAAAAAGCGGCCACGAAGGCGAGGAGGGAGGCAGCGGAGAGGGGCGTGGGGTACGCCGAGGTCTTGACGAAAGTCAAGGCCAACGTGGACCTCAAAGCCCTCGAGATTCCGGGCGTCCGGTGTAAAAACACACGGACGGGAGCCCGGCTCCTCGAGGTCGCCGGCGCTACCAGTGGCCCCAAAGCCGACGCCCTAGCGGCTAAGCTGAGGGAGTCACTGGATGCAGCTGACGTCCGAGTGTCCAGGCCCACTAAATGCGCAGAAGTTCGCATTACGGGCCTGGACGACTCTGTCACGGCGGACGAGCTCAGAACGGCTCAGAACAGCCTTCTGGACAGCGTGAAGGCCGGAGCAATACGCTTCGGCCCCGGTGGACAGGGGGCAGCGGTTGTCAGCTGCCCCATCGCGGCGGCCCAGAAGGTCGCCGATGGACGGAGCCTCCTGGTCGGAGGTTTCCTGAGGGCGCAGGCACGACTCCTGCAGGCCCGGCCGGCAAGGTGCTTCAGGTGCCTGTCGGTGGGGCACGTAGGGGTGCACTGCACGGCGGAAGCCACCGTAGGTGACCGATGCTTCCGCTGTGGCCAGCCCGGTCACAAGGCGGGTGGCTGCAACGCTCCGCTGCGTTGCTTTAGGTGCGCAGCGGGGGGCAAGCCTGCCGACCACCGGGTTGGTGGTAAGGCCTGTGCCCTATCACGACCGAAGCCGGGAGGCCGACCTTCCGCCTCCGGGCCGCTGATCCAGACGGGGAGTGCCGCTGGACAGCCGCAAAGTTCGCTGCGGGATGCGGGGATGGAAGTCCAGTGATGGATCCACATCTCCGCATCCTCCAGGTGAACGTAGGCCACGGTGCCGATGCTCAGGATCTTCTGCTCCAGAGCATGGCACAGTGGTCCATCAACATCGCCGCTATCGCCGAGCCATATGTCCATCGGTTAAAGAAGGAAAACTTAAAACAATCCCTATACCAACCCGTCTGGCCAGCGTGATATAGGAGGCCAAAACCTCCTTTCCAAAGAGAGGTATATGTCCAGCAGTGGACTATTAAAGACTGTTGATGATGATGATGAAACTTTAATTGCACCAGTGAACCGGTGTGTCAGCTTATACTAGAAACCTGAAGGTCAATTTTCGTAATAAAAGTTCGGTTTAAATTACTGAATTTAAACCGAACTTTTATTACGAGGATTGACCTTCGCTGAAAGCTGATCGGCACTGGCCGATCAGCTTTCTATCTCACAACCAACAACAAAAAGAAACAAGTTTTAATCAAAATTACACGTCTCATTAATATTTATATTAACAAAATGTTTTGATACTAAAACAAAACAAAATTATTTAAGTTAAGGTTGCAACGCATTGACGTGCGCAAATAAAAGTTAAAGTAGGCATACATGGCGCACAGTGAGCAAAGTGATTGATAAATTATTCAAATATTAAATTTGCAAAACGCAAATATTTATATCGTTGTAATATTATGGATATTTTAGTACAAAGCTTGCGCTCATAATGCCCGGTTTATAAGATCTAATAGGGAGTCTAAATATGCATCTAAAGAATCCTAAATAGAAGTATGCGTTTTCAAACACTGCCATAAAAGACAAACTGCGTTTAAATTAAAGTGAATGTCACCATAATAATCATCAACAGCTTTTAATGCTGCTTTAATCCTTAGAACGGAGGTTACTATAATAATTTTTTTTTTTTTGGTCAAAATAAAATATTACAAAGCAATACATGTTAAAAGACAGTGTTCGGTCATACATTTATGACCGAACACTGTCATATATTCATGACCGAACACCGGGGAACCAGGTGTATGAAGGAAATCCCTGATACTCATGTTCTACCCTTTTTTTTCAGTACGGAAATCCCCTCGGATACCACATGTCGGACTCGAACCGACTAAAACCGCACAAAACCAAAACAAATGGTGCTGTCATTTCAAGTTGCGACATGTGATTCAAGCCTTCTGCAATAGTCTCAGTGAGAAAGGTGTGGTATCAATTTGTCATAATATTTTTTTGCATCTCCAGTTTTGTATATTTATATAACATACGATAAATATATAAGATAACACAGTAGTTAATTGACATCTGTGTGATAAGCTTTTACTGTGTAAACATAACCACAAATCTCATGTCACATGTAAATTAGCAGTTTATGATATATTGCAAAATGTCTAGAAATATCACGTGCGACGACGACTGGCACAACCTAATCGACAGACAATTCAAATGACTGACAAAATCAACGACTTCAAACAGACTTGAAGAGACTATTGCTATTATAATGTCACCTGTTATATTGAGGGTACTTATTATAGTTTTTTACTTAGATTTGTAATTATTTTAGTGCTTTTGTGAGTAGTGTTTGAAGTCGATTCAACTTTTTTTTACATTGTTTTACCATTTTTATTGTAATATATGTTTGTAATGAGTAGATGAGTACGATATTTAAAATACTACGTACCGTAATGTATAGTACCAAAACTGTAGTATGTAAGATTATATGAAATATAGTTTAAAAAAGCCGTGTGGTGCGACACCCGATAGGAACGAAGTTGTGACAATCGAGTAAAACTGATTCGACACGATTTTAATTACAACGCCATCTACGAAAGCGGCTATTACCTACATATTTTTCAGTTGGTTTCTAATTAAAACAATTTATACATTTATAGATGGCGCTGAATGACTGACAAGTGACAATTCAAAATAAAAAGTGTCGTTACAACTTTTCGTGAGATTTTTTTTCGTCTAGCCCCCTTTCACAACGCGCGATAAGGAACATCGTTCCAATAAGTCCGTTACTTTATTTAGATGAGGTAGTAAGACGTAAGGTTTGAACCCGAAATATTTTATTTTTCCAGAACCAGGAGTGGTATTTTTTCTTCACATTTAAATTGAACTAAAGAGGAAATATACCCTTCCAAAAACAAAAAAAAACATAATCGGTTTATAAATGAATGAGTTTTGAGGTTACAAATATGAAAATAATTGCATAACAAACATTTTTTTGTCTAAATGTTTTGTAATCTAATTTATAACTCTTGTGCACATATCTCTTGAAAGAATAATACAAGGTCAATACATGATTAGATTTTTGAAAGAGTTATTTTCTAACTCCTAAAGGTCAAGGATCCTTCCATCATCAGCTCATCAACATGACATAACGACTACTAAACGCAAATTCCTATAATGTTAGAAAAAAGGCTAAAACACGTTGTTGGGGCTGTAAAATTTGAGGCTCGATTTCTCTAGGATTCCATCATCAGATCCTGATTTGGTGATAATAGGACCAAAATAATTTTGAAAATCGTTCCGCAATTGATGGAGATATCGCGTAACACACAAAAAAAACCAACGTATGGATAACACCCTCTTTTGGGTTTTTGAAGTCGTTTAAGTTAATCAAAAAACGTTTATTGACATTGAAAACTCTAGGATATTCGCTAAATCTCTAATTCTTTACATGCCTGTAACATATATGTGATGATAAATACATGTCGAAAATGTGACCTATCAATAGAACCTAAATTGCGACACGACGAGCACATATCCAGGTGAGTCATATATGCTTTCAATATGTTTGTGTGAAATCCTTATTACATCAATTATTTAGTATACCATTTTGTACTTTTGCGTAGCCATTGAAATAACAAAATACTTATAAATTGAAGAACTTTTAATCCACTTCAAATAAATAAGAAGATATTCAATTTGGTTATCTATACAAATAAATAAAATTTAAGTGTCTGTTTGTAATGTCAAAATAATAGGTTTTTTTTACGCTCACATGGTTATTTGCATGATACCGATGCCTAAAAACCAGTTCACATAATTTCTGTCTGTCTATTTGTTTTCCGGAGTTTCTAATCTTTATAACGGCTGGAACGATTTGGATAATATTTCACTACCAGTAGCTGTCTATATAAGGAGTAACTTAAGCTATTTTTTCTCTCAAAAAACCCCAAAAAAATTAGCGCGGTATAGGAATCGAACACAGTAAGGCAGCGCTTTTAAAATTCCACGAGAACAAAGTCACGGGCATAAGCTAGTATTATATATATATAACATATATATTATTTTTGAGTGTTACGTCAGACATACGTCATGTATTATAAACCGACTAGCTGACGCGCCCAATTTTCTCTGCGTCTCTTAAAAGGAACAAATTTGCTTTGCTTTCCCAACATTTTTCATGGATACTTCTATTAGCCGTATCGTGATATTATATAGCATACAGTCTTCAGATAAATGGGCTATCCAAAACCAAAATAATTTTTCAATTCGAACCAGTAGTTCCTGAGATTAGCGCGTTCAACCAAACAAACTCTTCATAATGTTAGTATAGATTTAAAAAAATCATTTTCTTAATTTGTCAAATTCAAATTTAAAGAATTAAATCAACCCTTAGGCTGCATAATTGACGAATGAAGAATACAGATGTACGCTAATTAAGGTCGGGGATATTAAAACAAAAGTTAATTAATAAGATTATGAAATTGCACAACTAGTTTTTTTTTCTTATTATTTTATCCATAATATGTATATATTTAGAAAAAAATTTTATCAGCTGTCTGATGTCTGTCTATTTTGGGACCAGACGGCCTTGTCTGAGATGTGGGAATCTTTTAAAGTCGCTTATTTTTGTTGTACGCTTAGATCTTTTAAACTAAGCAACGGATTATAATGCGGTTTTCACTAATGGAGAGAGTTTCAAGAGTAAGATTTATATGTTTGTATAATACATGCATACTACAGTAGAGAAAATTCTAGAATTTCATAGATTTGTCGTGAAAAAACATGTTTTTGTGTGCTTACATTGCAAACGCTGACTAAACTTTATGACTGCACTGTTTATCTTAAAAAGATCTACAAAAAGTCCGCGGTGGTATACCTATGTCTATCTCCTAAGGACAACTCATTGTGACCCTTATGATCTATAATTTACGGAGCTATTTTGAACAATACAGCATTATTCCTTATTCAAATAAATACGTTGGATACGTTATGCATTTAATGTAGATCAAAATTGCCTTTTACAGCATTTTCTTTTATTGTAATAGGGGGCAAACGAGCAGACGGGTTACCTGATGGAAAGCGACTACTGTCAGCTCAGCATTCCAAAGCGCGTTGCTAGCCTTTGAGGAAGGAGTACGCTCTTTTCATGAAGGTTTGAAGGTCATATCGGTCAGGTAAAACCGCAGCCGATAACTTGTTTCACAGGTTGGTAGTACCAGGCAAAAAGTGTCTTGAAAAGTCGAACGATGAAGGTTGCGGCTGGTATTAGTCCGAATAATTCCTCAGAACACTCTCCATGATAGAGAATGCAGTGCGAAGCTAAATCTCTACCAGCCAGTCGCAAATCTTTTGGCTATCGACGATTCGAGTCGCTCTATATATCGTTAAAGTAAATATCTTAGTAGATATCAGTGGTTCTATTGTAAGTTTATTTCACATCGACTCGCTATCGACGGCGAGCGCGTTTGGCGTTGCGATTGGTGGAGATTTCGGAGGGCCAAGTGCGAGTTTCTTTTACTTTTAAACGATCGTCACGGTGACCGCGTTCGGCGATACGATTGGCCTGCACTGAAATTTCCACCAATCGCAACCCTAGATGCGCTCGCCGTCGAGAGCGAGTCGATGTGAAATAAACTTACACTGGCCCTTAGTACGGGCCAATCGCAACGCCAAACGCGATCACAGTGACGAGCAAGTTGATATGAAATAAACTCACACTTGGCCCTCAGAGGTTTAAATGCCGCTACTCGGCGTCTTGACGCAGCGGCCAGCAGGATCGGATCGTTTAACACTGCATATAAAGATGTCCTGTAGTATAGTCTTATCATAATAATAATATCATTAATTACTCCACATTGTACATTAATAGTAGCAGTTTCTACATTGCACCCGTGCGAAGCGGGGCGGATCGTTGAGATTAATATTTTGTTAAGTTGTTTGCAAACTTGTCTTTGATATAATTTCTCTGGTGATAAAAACTGTAAAAATGTTTTGTTTATATCGTGTGGAAACTCCCACGGGCTATCACCATACCGGGGTTCAAGTTGATGACCTGGAGTATGTCAGAATCGAACCGATTAAAGCAACACAGTGTTCCGTCACATTTAAGTATATTGCAAAGGACTTACCTTTAAGTATGTAAAAGTAGTAGAAAACAAATTAACAAGTAACTTAAAGGTTATAAATTTCGACAGAACTTTATCCCAACTTCGAGAATAAATTACTAACAATAGAAACGTGAAATATTAATCATAAGGTAGGTAAGTAGTAAATGGGATTATTTTCCTATTTAAATAATATTCTTTTAAGTTTATACATCCAGATAAACCGCAAGACATCCAGAGATGTCCTGACAATGTTTATACATAAATAATATTTGACTGCACGCTTCCTACTGCGCTGAGTGTTGTGGGTCCGATCTCCACATGGGACACAATTTTGTGTGATCCACAAATTGTTGTTCTGAGTCTGGGTGTTCTTTGTGTCCGTTTCATGTATCTTTGTAAAGTTCCCCGCGACACAGGTCATACATATATTCCTAATGCGAGAGATGTCTTTTTAAAGAAAAAAACTATTTATTATATATGTTACGTAAGATATGGTCAAGTGTAGCCATAACATAATATATGATAGCATTACGTATCAAACGTGACATTCATTTTATTGAGCGAGTGAGCCTCACCTCTCCCACTCCAATGTCTTGGGGGAGAGTCATTTACCATCAGGTGAACCGTCTCCTGCTCGTTTCCCCTTTCTTCATCCGTTAAAAGTTGTCACAATATAATTATTAACTTACATATAACATCTTACAGTGACCGAGTCAATATCCGATATCTTTATTTCTTTAATACCTAGTAGATTATTCTTTTGTGAATATAATATCACCAATAAGAAATTATTATTATAGTCTATAAAACTGAAAAAAAAACACTCATTTGTATAGAGAGGCCAATGTCCAACAGTGGACTATTAAAGGTTGTTGATGATGATGATGATGATTAGGTGTTTATGCTGGGTTACAGAGATATGTGCACAAGAGAGTAATATATGAGATTATAAAAAATTTAGAGAATACGGACATGAGAATACGGAGTGTCACCACCCCTATTCATCCCGTGGGTGTCGTCAGAGCCGACTAAGGGATCAAAATACGCAGGACAATAGCACTACAAAGAGAACTAAAAGTTGAAACAAACCATTCAACCAACCCGTCTGGCCAGCTTGGTATAGTAGGCCACAATCTCCTTTCTAAGGAGAGGCCTATGTCCAGCAGATAAAATCGAAGCCTCCACATAAAAATCAAAATCCAAAGAATTTGACGTAATAAAATATTGTTACTTTTATTATCATTCTTATCCATAACCTATTCAATATTATTCATCTTACTTATAGGTAGACAATTTATAATATTTATGTAGATTATGTTAACATAAAATTGTTCAGAGGGCAACAATTTACTATACCATCTTTTAATAAGAGTTGTTTTTACAAAATACATTTTTAGTATTACGGATCCTTTTTAGCCTCCTTTCTTAAGTCTTCTCTGCCGCCCTCCACTGGGCCATAATCAGAGCTGGGTATGTACCTAATATAACTCTTATCAGTAAAGTTCAGTGTAATGCATTAACACACGAATAAGTTCATATAAACAAATCTATTATCTACTGATAAACCCCACTTTAAAACTATCTACATACATATTTCAGAACAGACGTGTTATGAAAACTTTCCACAAAGCAATAGCAGTCGATTGTATTCTCAAAATATAAATCGATGACGCTGTCTAAAATATAATTTTCGTCCTAAGATTGAAGAAGACATTAGGTCGTCCTAAGATTGAAAAAGACCTAATGTCTTCTTCAAACTTAGGACGAAAATTCGTACCGTGACACTTTGAGACCCCTCCGTGCCTCGGAGAGCACAGGAGACAACAGGCTTTTTAGAGAACTTCTATATCGCCTAGTACTTGGGTTGTGGAGATCTGATAGCAATCGCGTGGCTTAAAAAATCTAAGTTGACTCAAAGACGACCCCAACCTATCTTGGGAAAAATGCTCGGAAGAAAGTGTGTATAATAAATTTTTAAATGAGCCAAAATTAAAAAAGAAATTTGGAATAAGTGTAACAAAGCCTAATTACAAATTGGAAGTGTAATAATGATATTAATTAAAGAATCATCTGTCAATGAAATCATGAAATGTCAGATAGTTACATTGATACATGATAACTTGAAGATTTTAGTGAATTTTAGTACATAGTCAGTTGTGTTTTTCAATGACATTTTGTGGTCTCAAACCATACCATACATATATTGTGTTTTCTATCCAACTTCAACGCATTGTAGTGTTGTAAGATTCTCTGTTTGTGTTCACTGTTTGTGTCACTCCTGTTTTGTGTTTCATCAAGAATATCATCACATCATCACATCAATAGCCTATAACGGTCCACTGACGGACATAGGCCTCTCTTTTAACTTAATCGCAATTGTTAATTTTTTATTTTTATATAGGCATATTGAATTTATTAAAATAGTCGGAACAGTCACAAACGGACACACAAATTTTCTTTAAAATGTTGGATAAAAAATTAGTAGAAAAGAAAATTACAGTATCTCAGGAATGTAATGTTTATCGAAAAATAAAAAATTAATGTTTAGATATGTTTGCAGGCATAGCACTCTTCACTGTACATTAATAAACAAATGCTTGTTTTCGACCTTATTAAAAATTCTAACATAGTCGAATAGTGTGGGATGGTTATTATTATGCCTATAATAAAAAAATCCGGGCAAGTGCCAGTCGAACTGCAAATAGTTCAGGAATCGAGACTCGCATTTTTGCAGAGTTTTACCCGAAATTCATTTTCCAAAACTTAAATTATTGTGTATTAAATTATATTTTTTTACGTACTTTAAATAAAAACTATATTTTTTTATGATTTAATTACAAATATATAGTCATCAGATTTTGCCCTTTATTTGTAACATAAGACGATGTCACTTGCCAAATTTCATAGTCAACCGTAAGTACCCTATACATTTTGATTCCCGTGAAAGTATAAATATATTATATGTGTTTTTTTCCAACATAAACGGCCGTTTCTTTTTTCATGTTGCCTTAAAAGTTAAGTTTTTAAAAGCTTTAAGGGACTTTAGACTTAATAATTTGGTTTTAATTTCAATTCGATACCTCAACGCGTCCCCGAAATAAAGGGTCTTAACAGACAGACGGACGGACAGACAGACAGACAGAAGGGGAAGAAAGTAATCTTATAAGGGTTCCGTTATTTCGTTTTGAGGTAAGGGGCCCTAAAATTGAATGTGTACACACACTAGTACGTTATTTCTATTACGAGTGTATAATGTTTAGTGTCTATTTAATACTGGTTATTGTCTTCTTCTCTTTACATAATACATAATTATGACATGTACCTGACATCTCATCTACCCTGACAACTCAACTTAAATGTTACATATTTCCGTCCCTTTTCACAAAATCACTACCACCAGATAGCAAGAAAGCGAGAGGAAAGATCTCATATAATACACACATGAACACCAAAAAGCCTAAGTTTATATGAACCTTTCTGTTTCTACTTTCAGGTATGAAAGCGCTTGTTCTGTTCATTGCAGCACTGCTGATAGGCTCAGTCCCTACTGCTGAATCCTTTGCTTATTCCTATGACAGCATACTTGATGTCACAGATGAATTCTTCTCCGATGATCTCATCATCTACAGAGCTGAATACGACATTGTCGATATATTATATCCTTTGAATGGCCTAAACAAAGACTCATTTACAAATAATAGAGTATACTTCTTCACACTAGCAGACTTCAAAAGTGGAAAAAGAATAGATAAAGGTCTTTTTATCAATATCAATGGAGTTGCCACAAAACTACTTGACAACGGAAGAGTTTCTGCTGCAGCTAAAGATCATACAAAAGAAGCTTACTTTGGAGCTACAGACGGCTTGTATGCATATGACGTAGTTAAAAATAAAGCAGTAAAATATGGTAATTTTAATGACCCCATAATCAGTCTTGGTAAAGTCAAAGGTGAGGATACAATATACGCATTAACTGAGGATAATGTTCTATACAAAGTCACGGAACTGGGTACGAAGAGAGAAAAGATCGATCACGCCCCCAATTTAGAAGACATCGTTTTAGATGCCAGCAACAATTTGTATTTCAGCACACCTGATAAGAGAGTGCATATTGTGGGTAGAGATGGAGTCCAGCAAGTTAAAGGTCTTCCGGAACATATATCTTATTTAAAGATCTACAAAGCACCATTCTTTGTTGAAGATGCTATTGCGGTGATAGCTAATGAAATGTCCCACTTGGTGTTCTTCAATGGTACCGTTGGTGATGGTCATTGCAAGTACTTGGTCAAACCAACTGCTTACTCACTACAACCTCTACTCTTGCAACAATACGGATACAAGAAGAACATATATGAGTTAAACTTTTTGAATTCGAAAACCCGTAAGAGTTTTAGTGGTCAGATCAAAAATTTAGTAGAACGGAGGGCTGACCAAATCACTAAATTTACTGCTGAACTACATACTTTAGTGGATATTTAATTTCTAAAACTCAAAAATGAAAGTAATATTTTATCCAAATTATTGAACTAGCAATCAAGATATCGTTAACACTGGAAAGGTCAAGGATTTATATAATCGATGTTTGAATAATTATTTGAAAAAAGTAACAAAAATATATAATTTACAAAAAATGTTTCAGAATTATTATTTAATATTTTAATAAGAAAATCGTTTATTGGATATGAACATACTCTCATAGTTCGGTCTATTATAACATCATATCATCTAGATTTTACTTCTACTGTCATACTGATATCATTATTTATATTGGAATTGAAGGAATCAGTCTACCTGTGACCACGGCTAATTCAACTTGGGTACCTATTCTAGTGGTAAAGTACTAAGACTAGCAGAATACCGATTCAAGTATCGAAGAGACGTATAACGATATTACAGTCAACGTTGGGTGTTTAATACTTTACTACAAGAATACCTTTCATTACATTTGAGATCGAGAGTAGATCTGTATTAATTGTGTATTGTTCAAACTAAAATCTTAAAATTGTTTTGGTTACAATTACAATTTCTGATATACTAAAACATTATTAGTTGTGATGTCCTTTCTTACTAAAAAGAACGACACGTCGCCTTTGCCCTCACAACTCTTATAATTATAATAAATTAATAAATATTATTGTAGCGCCTTAAAAAATTTAGTAGCAATCATTTTTTATTAGTGTTAAATTGTATTTTACACTACTCATATTATTTTCATTTCATCTCAAATTATTTAATAAAATTTTACTATATTAAACTATTTCTTCACATTCTGCTAATTAAAAGGACATGGTCTGTCATTTATGCGTTATGTCTACTACCTATTTATAAAGTACTATTAACTCCAGATATCTAAACATCACCTCACTAGAGCTGAATGCCTAGTGGTGTGTCAATCTCGAATTGACTAAAACCCAGACCCCGACGACCCAGGTTACACTAACAAGGAAACCACTTAGAACCCATGCAGAAATAACTAATTATTTGCGTAATACAATAAAAAGACACACTGTAATTTTCATAAAAGACTTGTTGTCCATTAGTATTTTTCAATCAATCAAAAAATCTTCTTAAATAAAATCGATTGTTATTTCTAATCGAATAGACAAAGTGTTTGGTCATTATTTATAATCGAAATGTCAACAAGAAAATAAATGAATGTACATAGTAGAAAAAAAGGACAACTATCATTGTCCTAAAGGATCCAGGATCAATAAAATAATATAACCGAATAATGTACAAATATCTTTAATTATTATGCTACATTGACAGTACTTAATTTTACTCTTTCTTTTGCTGATAAAAAAACATTCATCTGTTAGTGTTAGATACACAAAATAAAATGGCAACACTTTTATTTTTAAATGTCAAAACCTAAATTTGAAAAGTCTGCACTTTTAAAATTTAGAATTTTGATATATTTTTAGTAACAATGGTTTTTACAGATAAAACTCCCAATATGGGTATTATAAATTTGACTACAATTTTAGTTATTTTATTTCGAAATCCATCATAATTTAACTATAAATTTATTTAACCTGGCAATCGTTTTCCCGGTATTAGGTTTTCTTCATAATTTTCGAAGGACCAAGGTGCCGGTCCTATCTGCAGGAATAGCGGGCATTCTCTGTTGTAGCTTCACAGGGACACTTTATTCGAATTTCTACAACGATCTATTGACTACTTCTTCTTAAATCTTCTAGCTTTTTAATTTTAATACATTTAATTCACAAATGTGTTTATCCATCTGGTTATTGAAAATACATCACATTGCTTCTGAAACATCAATATACATTATATACAACTCAATACAAGCAATAATAAAATTAAAAATTACACAAATAAGGTGTAATTTAACTCAACAAAATACGAATTAGTATCTTTTCATATTCCTGTAGAAATTAAAATCTGTTACTTTTCTACCTTAAAACCTTTATCTTTAAGTTCATAATCCAATACAAATTGACATGACTTGGAGATCAAATTATTTGTAAGCAATAACAATTCCCTACAATTTCCTTCTCTTCTCTTCTAACCAAGCAAATACCTATTAGTTAAATGGGACTAAAATTCATCATCATCGTCGTCATCATACGCCTCTGCCTACCCCTTCGGAAATAAAGGCGTAAATGTATTATATATGTATGAGTTTTAACATGAGCCAGGAACTGAATTTTTAACTAAAGTTTTCGTAGAAATACATTTTCATCTTATTATTTACAAATTTATCTGTGAGTTTATCTATAGTTTTATTTTTATATTTTCCATTTTGTGACAAATTGAAGAAACAAAAAGGTAAAATAATTGGACCTACTTATTTTGATGGTGTATGTGCAAATTTAGCGTTTATAATGATAGTGACAACATAGCTGACACTCAACAATAACGAAAAGAACTTAGTGGCCAACTGTTGGTTACTATTTTTTCGACGTTTATTCAGCTTTGACAGTCTATCTAGACTCTGGACATATCAATGATCTAAGCGTATGAACATGAATTGACTAAATCTATGTTCTCTGTATGATTTCATACGAACTCTTAGTCAACAAATGTGTATATTAATATATTAGATTATAATAATAATAATAATATTCTACCACATTCACACAACGCCATCTAGTCCCAAACTAAGCAGAGCTTGTACTATGGGTACTAGACAACTGATATAAGTCCATATATACTTTTTTTTGTAAATACATACATATTATACATAGAAACACCCAGACCAAATCAAACATTAAAAGTTCAGGCACACAAATGTTTGACTTGAGCGGGACTCGAACCGCACTTTGGAATAGCCGTGTCCGTTACACAAACGCCATATGCCATCCGGCCCATCCATCTATGTTATTTATTTTCTATTGACGGGCCTGTTGGTCTAGTGGTTAGTGACCCTGACTGCTAAGCCGGAGGTCGTGGGTTCGATTCCCACCCAGGACAAATAATTGTGTGATGAGCACGATCATTTGTTCTGTGTCTGGGTGTAATTTATCTATATTATGTATGTATTTAGAAATATATAAGTATGTTTATCAGCAGTCTGATTACCATAGTACAGGCTCTGCCTACTTTTGGGATCAGACAGCCGTGTCTGAGATGTGTAAAATATTTTATTATTATATTATATATATTATTATATTACTTAATACTGACATATATAACATTAGAAGAACAGTTTTTAACAATCAAACAGTTAACAACAATTGAAATCTTAATAATTATTTGGTGATGATGATTTAAGAAAATAATCTAATCGAATCGACAACTCAAGATACACAAGGGCTTTAAAGTCCTTGGAGTGTTGACCTTCCCCCATAATAGGGGATTGGTCCGCTGGTACGATAACTTCACTTACTTGGTGGACAGTAGGGATGGACTAATCACATTCACCTGTGATAAATCATATAATCACACCTGTGACCAATTTACAAAACCACTGCGCCTTATTATTATTACTACGGTAGCGTCAAAGGCCTCACGAAAGGTTTAAATCTAAAAATAAATAATTAAAATCTATAAAAATCTTTGATAAAAAGAATTTCAATGCCATTTATCTTTGTCAGTGACCAACTCACAATCACAGATAAAATCACTGCTACTACAAGCAATCATTTCATCATATGAATTCGATTTAAAATTAGCAATCATTTCCATATCTAATGGACAGCAAGAATGGAATTTCTCAACACTAGTTTTCTGTGACGCCGTAGTATAACTCCGGTCGAGGTGTATTTGCCGCAGTATGGGTCTCCCACATTGATAAATAATATACATAATAATATGTATATTGTTGAAGTGAGATTATTTTCCTAAATATAACGTTATAAAAGTATTTTGGGTTACTTAAACAAGACTTTAAAACACAACCATTAAAAACATTCAACAAAAAACATAATAGTTACAATATACTAGTATGAGTATTATTATTATTTTTTACATTATATTCACAAATTAACAGTCCCTTGCTTCTATTTTACACACTGATGTAAAACTTTCTGTGCAACATTGTTATTATCAAAAACACAAAACATTTTTAAATACACAAAAATTAATATATTAAAAATGTACAACAAAAGAGTCTTTTGTAAATCCAAAAGTACCGTCTTTCGCCGTTTCAATTATCGACATAATAATTTTCGTCACATCCTTTGGCCATTCTGTTGAAACTCCGAACATTGATCGTATCAAAACTTCCATTACATTAAATTCATATATTTTCCCATTTATTGCTGCTACTAAATACAATGCAGCATCCACGCTATACGCAGTTGGTCTTTCTTTAATCTGAAAATCCTTTTTCTCATAAGTACCGTTTGAATATAAAATGTATAAAGAGCCGTCTCCGAAAAACGGTACACAATTTTCCATTATAAAAGCAGGTCTTAATAATTTAATATCTTTGAAATCTTCAATCACACTAGCTGTTAAACTTAATACGTTCCCGTTTGATTTAACAATGTGCGGCATCCTGTCTCCACAGCCTACGTAATAAATATTATTTGAAGTGTCTAATACAAATTCAGTAGCACAATTGACGCTCTGCATCTTTGTCTTAACTGTTCCATTCTTTTCCATTTTGAACAACTTTCTCTCAGAGGTTAATATGTAAATGATATCGCTCCCATTCGCTTTCTGAAGCTGAATTATATCGTCTCTGAACGGACCATATTTCTTCGCAGAAAGACTATCAGGGTGATACTTATAAAGACCATCTCTTGCTCCAAAGTAAATAGCTTTATCGAAACTGTAGTCTGCTGTTGAATCACGTCCACCTTCTAGCAGTTCGTATGCTGCAAATCCTTCTAGAACATATATACATGTACCGCCTTCTAGTTTGGGATCAGATACCGTGAAAAAAATAGACGGTATGTCAGATGATTCTGCTTGAAGATATTTAGTACCATCTGCTGGTACGAGTATCTTTGTGATGTTGAAGTTCGAAGAGAAGATTATTTGGTCGTCTTTGAACAATGTGCTGCTAATATCATTTGTGTTCGGAATTGAGAACAAGCCTGGCAGGAAAGATGATATTAAGAGTACTGTCCACATTTTGCAAGGCATCTGTAACAAAAACTTGCTTTAAAGATTGTCGAGTTGTTGTTTACGATTTGCGGAAATAAGGAAAAGAAAATCGTTAACTAAATGGTATTGGAACGAAGTTCCTTATGACACGATGTGGCGAGAAGGATTTCACGAGAATCGCGCTATCGAAAGCGCTATCTCTCTCGCATTGACTGCCTGCAGAGCGAGAGTGAGAGAGAAAGTAATCGGGCTACTTGCATTGCGTATTTTTATTTAACAGAATTTGAGGAGTAAAATGACACCAGTTTTGTTTATCCACAATTAAATAGGTGTAGTTCATTATCAAACCTTTTTTTTTTTTATACACGGTGATATGAAAGCGTTTTAGAAAAGAAAATTTTGAATTATTTATCAATAACAGAAGCTATATATAACGCTAATTTAATAAAATATATATTTTTTTATCATCAAAGTCGATATTCATATCGTTTACAGAGAAAAAGTGAGAACCAGTAGTAGGGCTATTCAATCACACGTAGGTAAAGACTACAAATAGAAATACTATGCGTTTTAATATCGAGTCACATGAAATCGTATTCGCCAATAAAACAAAGCTATCGAGTTGCGCCGGAGTCGTCCAACCAATAACGTATGCCCCGTAGGCGCATGCGCGGGACTCACCTGTAATCGTGAGGCGTCCTTCGCTTTCAGTCGGTCAGTAATACCATAACATCGTGACGGCACGCTACATTGATTAGCGCTAAAATAAGTCGACAGTACGAATTTTCAAACGTGGAGTACTTGGCAATGGTACAGCTGTAGGCTACTGCCAACTACAACTTGGAAGAGGCTCGGCGTTTGTATTCTCAGCCGGAGCATTTAAATGCACTACGACTACATGGAATTGAAAGCCCTCAAATTCCCTCCACACCTACCATCTTGGCTGCAACCCAACGACTTCTCGACCACGGACAATTTCGTGCGCCTACTCATGCGCAAGGTCAAGGACGTTAAAATTACTATTCGCCGGAGTGTAGTGCGTGCATACCTGGACAATGAGTTTAGTGATCGATGCATAGGTCGAGGAGGGCCTGTGCCTTGGCCACCTAGAAGCCCGGACTTAACACCCCTGGATTTTTTCTTATGGTCGGAAATAAAAAGACTTGTTTATACACGGGAATATGAAAGCCGTGATAATTTACGCATTGCGATAGTGAATGCTTTTGATAAAGTGAAAAGTGATAGAGACACATTAAGAAAATTAAAAAACAATTGCCTTAAACGTGGACGTTTGTTTATTGAACGCAGCGGACTCCATTTTGAGCGTAAGTCATTGTAAATAGTGTAAATAAACTGTAAATAGGTATGTAAGTTAATTATTCTGTACATAGCTATGATTTTTTAAATAATATAATAATAATATAATATTCTACCGCATTCACACAACGCCATCTAGTCCCAAACTAAGCAAAGCTTGTACTATGGGTACTAGACAACTGATATAAATACATATATACTTTTTTTTTGTAAATACATACTTATTATACATAGAAACACCCAGACCAAATCAAACATTAAATATTCATGCACACAAATATTTGATTTGAGCGGGAATCGAACCCGCGACCTTTGGAATAGCAGTCCGTTACACAACACCCATTCAGTCGTCAAAGTCAAAAAGAAAAGAAGTTTAAATAAAATAGGTATTCCGATGGTCCTAAGCCCGTGTAAAGTATGAAGGACAAACTGGCGTCTATCTACGTAAGTACTCGCTAGCTCGCGCCTATGGGATCGGGAGAGGACGATCCCGAACGTAGAAGACGTCGGCGGCGATATCAGCCATCGATGGGGCCGCGGGCCGCCAGAGAGTGGGGACCTCTGGTGGCAGATTGATTGCTGCGGTAGGGAATGGAATGGCCGGCCTGATTGCATTAAGATGCGATCGGGCCGCCATGCCGCGATTGAAGGGGGGAAGTGTTCTCCCCTGGGATAGGGCCTGATTAGGCATGGTGTCACTTAGGGGAGTACCTGAAATAACATGGTCCGGGTCCTCCCCGGAGTAGGATACCTAAGGCCGGCCGTCGGGGTGGTTTTTAGTGGAATCACCACATACTCCTGACGTGTTTCATTCATATTAGGTAATGAATGAATGATCAGTCCATTACTACTTTCCAAGTCGATCGAGTAAAAATGAATATTAAAACTGAAACTTTTTTTAAGTCAACATTACAATTGATTTAACCATTTCTATTGGTACTATAGATGATTCCAAATTAAAATGTTTCGTTTCCAAAACGCCTATAAAATCACCGTGTATATACAAAAAATTATACGAAAATTATATTTTTTGATAAATACCTTGACTAAAATTTATTAATAAAATATTTTTCAAATACCTATGTCCTAGAACACCATATGGCTTTTTTATTTATTAAGTACTCAATTTAGAGGGTCGGACGGTTAGAGGGTTAAACTTTCTATCAACTGCCAACTTAAGTTACAAGTATCCGACTTGGCCCTGTTTGAGCTACTGCTAAAACTCCCAAGTCCATCTGTGTAGATGCCTTTATCCCTTAATAAAAATATTTCAAACAACTGGCACACAACGTCATCTAGTTTAAAACTAAGCAGAGTTTGTTTGATTGATTGATAGCATACTTTATACTTTTTTTTTATAAGTACTTACTTAGAAAACACCCAAACTCCGAAACAAATATTTTCAGATCATCCAAAAATTGGGTCCGATCCGAAATTCAAACCCGAGATTTCCACACAGCAGTCGCATACGCTACCAGTCACCTGCACCAATTTTCCCACCTAATTCCTAAAGCAACAGGTTCACATAGACTTAGCCCCTAGTATCTAGGTATAGTGGTTAGTGACCCTGACTGCAAAACTGGAGGTTGTGGGTTCGATTCCCACCGAGGACAAATAATTGTATGATGAGCACGATCATTTGTTCTGTGTCTCGATGTAGTTTACCTATAATGTGTATGTATTTAGAAATATATAAGTATGTTTATCAGCAGTCTGGTTCCCATAGTGCAGGCTCTGCGTAGTTTGGGATCAAACGGCCGTGTGTGAAATGTGTGAAAATATTTTATTATATTATGTAAGTAAGACCATAAAACAAGAAAATAAATACAACAGTTTCATAAAAAAATTAAAACTCTTTCTTCTAAGTAAAAGCTACTACAGCATAAGAGAATATTTTGAAGATAGAACTCTAAAATTTCTCTATTCTAAAAACTCTAAAAAACCGCATCATATTTCTACATCACCTGAAACTGTTGACTGTTTCAGGTGTGTTTCGGTTGACTGGGAGAGAATGCCCCATGGCACTAAGTCCGCCTTTGTACAATATGTGCATTAAGTTTAAAATAAATAAATAAAATTCATAAATTATACAACTATTATGATATTGGGACTAATCCCACCCACACGCCCACCACTGTAACTCCTGTACACCAGGATCCACAGCAGTGACCCACGAACACACCGAGTTATGACACTCGGGAAGTCCCAGGAAGAAATTAAACTGTCTTGGAACCCGCAACGAAATTAATCAGAAGAAAATTGGAGGAGTTGGAAATACAGTAAATCCACTTCCCTCCTTAGCAAAGCGTTAGACAAAATGAAGTAAAATAGGCATACACCCTTTTAAACAGGGAAGCACCACGGCCACAAAATATTACGGGTTCTACATGAGCTATATTTGATTTCTATAATATGTATGGCAGAATCGCCTAAACGCACGGAAATTCACCCTAGTTGACACAAGATCCCCATAGTATACCGCCCCAGATGTCACCTGCAAGCTATTCAGCATTATATTACGTTCATTATACCAAAGACTACATTCCCAGAGGATATGATGAGGAGATTGTTCATAATGAGAGTTAGGTGTTGAGCATTGACACAATGGTGACTCGACTAATTTAAATGAATACAACTTGCTCTTAAAGTTACCATGACCCGTAAGAAATTGAGCGACACAGTGATCCACCTCAAGCCATGTCCTCGACAACCGTTCGCGAACAGATGGAAAAAATTGGTAAAGATGGCGCCCCTTGGATGATTCGTCCCAGCGTTGCTGCCATTCGTCTATGAGGTCATTATAGACATCGGACTGCTGTTGAAGCAATCTTGTAATTTTACCGCGATCCCGCGCGCCCAAGAAATCGCATTCCATGTTTTGTCTTGAATAGTACATGGCTGCACGTCTCTGCACCTCGAGATCGACCGGAAGGACACCTGCCAACACCGGCAAAGCCTCAGTGCTAACCGTCCTATATGCCTTGCACAAAAATATCAGTGCAAGTCGTTGGCCTTGTAACAGTTTGCGACGGACAGCGCCTACGGTCGCCCTATCGGCCCATACAGGTGCACCATAGCACATAGAACCTAAATAAGTAGCTCCGTATATGATCTTTAATGTATTAAATGATAGACCCCATGTCGCAGTTGATATCCTTGTCAATGCACAGAAACTCTTTTTAGACTTTTCATTAACTATTTTAATATGTTCGATAAATGAAAAGTTTCTTTCTAAAACTAACCCTAGATAACACACTGCGGTTTTATTTTTTACAGTAACATTGTCAAATCTAATGCTCGGCGGTGATTTGAGGTTACCTTTTAAAAGTAGCTGGAAGGTTTTGTTGGGTGCAAAAGTTAAGCGATTACGTTCACCCCATTGAGATATCAAGTTCAAACATCTATTGGCTAATCTCTCAAGCCCCGCCCTAGTATCAGATTCCACCAGTAATAAGCCGTCATCAGCATACGCGTTCAGAGTACATCCGGATGGTATTGGTATCGCAAGAAAATCGTCGAAGCCGATATTCCACAAGTATGGACCTAGCACCGATCCCTGAGGACATCCCATTGTAAGCACACTTACTGAGGACATCCCAAGCACCTTCGACACAGAATGATGACCAAGTCTTAGTTTAGTTGTACCTTGTGAAAAGTACGAAGAGATAAGGGAATAAATATTTTTAAAGCACCCCCTTGATTTTAATTTC